TTTTCTCCTTTGTCAAGCATCCCCTTAAAGTCACATTTATGAGTTTAGGGAACTAAATTTTCACGTCATTTGTTAAATGCATGTACTATAACATATAATTTTTGGGAAAAATTACTCTTATATTGTAGGAGATTAGTTTTTCTTCCTACATACTTTTCAAAAATTATGTTGCATTTTGTTTTTCTTTTTAAAATGATGGGTCCATCACTATATATGTGTGTGATAGAAGATAATTTCTCTCTTACAACATGAGAAAAGATAACCACATCATTTATTATGCTTTTAATGCTACGTTCTCTTTGTACATTAATTTACCCTCTAAACAAAGTATTGATTTTAACTTTATACCTACAGCAAATTATTTTGTAAATTTTTTATTTTTGTAATTAATTCGCTTAAACTTAGACTTTTAGTTCCTCAAATTTTTTATTACAATTGATGCTTTTGGATATGTTTGGTGCACAAAATATTATAAGGCCTGATAATATAAAATCTGATAGTATAAGATCTAATTATATAAGGCCTAATTAAATTTTAATATTATCCAACATTTGATATAGTATTACATAAGATAATATATTATATAAGATAATAGTATTCAATATTTGGTAATGCACTGTAAAATATGAAACAAGATAAAAATAAATATTTTTGACAAAAATACCCTTTAATAAAGAATTTATATAATTCTTTCAAATATGTCATATTGTCTTATTTTTTATAAAAATCTATCAATCGACATGTTCAAAAAGTATATTAATTATTTTAGAAATAAAAATCACCAATATTTATTAAAAAAAAAGTTCATAACTACTATATATATTGAATTAAAAAATCGATAGGCATAAAATCAAATATAAGGCCCGTTGACTGCAATTCAAAATAGTACCATCAAGATTTGAAAACCATTTTCCTTTTACTTTGAATTTATGATGTCGTTGATGATAGCAATTGACAATTTTCATCTTTTGGAACTGGTGGCTCATCACCTAAATGTCATTGTATAGTTCCAAGGTGTTACCAATCATAATTTCTTGCATCATTCGAAAAAGTACACTATGATCTTGAATGGACTGAATGCCTTATTATGCAATTCTGAGCTTGTATTCATTGCATAGGAAATTTAGCAACTTGTTTCATTTGATATTCTAACCAAGATTAAGTTTTCCCCCTCCTTTCTAAGACCCCTTTAATGCTTGTCAAGTATTTTGGATTTGTAATTGAACTAAAACTTTTGCTTGCAGATTGTTATAAGTGTCTTGTTAATTGCTTTATTTGTTGTTCTTCATAGCTCTACTGAACATTTGTCTATTTAGTTCTTGTATCAGGTTGACCTAACAAATAATCTCTGCACTAGCATATAAGATATGTAATTGCGTATTTGATGTACAAAGTATGAAGAGATATATTGGACAACTTTTCTGGTGTCTATAAGTTGGCTTCTGAAGTTGTACTTATTATTGTGTTAAGTGAGTGTGTGCCTACATATGTGTCTGTTTTGTTTTAGGGGTTATAACATGGTTGAGTTATGTAACCTTTATTTATCTTCGTAAGGAGCATTTAAATTATAGCATGTTGTTAGGAAAAAAAGATCAATATTGAAAAATTATGCTAAACAGTTTAATCCTCTTTACATTGAATATTCCTTTCATACATTAAAATATAAAGATAGTCTGGAGGCAAGACCTGAATGAGCTAATGTTAGTTTACATGGAACCACTAAAGGCAAGGACTATTGTTTCTGCTTTAATAGTAACAAGTTGGCATAAATGAAGAAATATGAACTAAAGTAACAGAATCAGGAAGAACAAATGTATTTCCACCCACCACATGGAAATATGATCCAAAATTTAGACTCTCCATTAGTGTTACTAAAATTATATTATAGTCTATATTATTCTTTCCATTGTACAAAACAGCTTATCCATCCGCCTAGCTACTGATCATAAACATAAACACTTTCAAAAGAGCTTCAGCTTTGAAGGAATGCTTCCTATTGTTGCCTGAGGGCAGTGACGGAGCTAGTCTCCCAACTCAGCTAGGGCTAAAGAGAATTTAGTTGGTGTTAAATATTAAAACATGGAAGGTTATTTAACCACATTTATTTAGCCACGTTTAAAACGTGGCTAATTTTTCAAAATAAGGCACCCTCTCCACCCAAAGTGACCCAAAGTGGCTCGACCACTGCCTGAGGGGTACTGGGCTTGGTAAACCAAGCGGTATAGAGGAACTGCTTATGAGCCCCTACATGGTTGCCAACAAGACGAAGCTTTTGTCTCTCTCTCATCCATCTCAACACTCTTTTCATATGATTCTTGCTCGTCAAATCTTTCAACCCAACCTCCTAAAAACTTTGAAAATGATGATCACTCAACAAGTCAATACAAATCCAAGACATGTAAAATTTTATAAGATTCATACGGATTTCAATAATCTCCAAGACTAAGCAAACCAGAGGGTCTATTATAGGGAGAAAAATTAGGTTGCTTTCAACATTCTTATATTCATCTTCTCCTCAACCTAAAAAGTTGAAAGATTTAGGCTCTGTTTGATTTCTGTTTTGCAAAACAGTTTTTTAGTTTTCAGAACAAAAAAACTAAAAAACTCGTTTAGTAAGACATGTTTTGTAAAAAATATTTTGAAAACTATAACTGCTTTTTTGTTTTTAAAATCAAATTTAGAGAACATGTCTGACTTGTTTTTGTTTTCTGTTTTGATTTTTAACTTTCGAAAAGAAAAAAATATAAAAAATAATTGTTTTCATAACTATTTTACAAAACAGTTTTAAGAACAAAAAAACCAAAACACAATCAAAAGACCCTTAATTTTGATCATTGACACTATCGATATCCCATATGGGTTCCACTATTTTCAAAAATAGAACAAATTTACTGAAAGTGAACATCAACAAACCTTAATTACCGCTATGCTACGATAATTGACAATGTACCTTGACACGTTTCCAGATGTTAGGACCAGTGATGGGATCATGTTCTTTAACGACATAAAAAGGACCTTTGCATTTGTGTTCCTCTGCTCTGGCGGTATTTTGAGGACTATAAGGCGCGTTTGGTAGAGAAATTTTTTTCTTTTTGTCCGGAAATCTCGATTTTTAAAAATATGATTTTTATATTCAGTTTATGATAATATTCAAAAATTAAAATTTTTAAAAAAATCAGTTTTCCGAGAATTCTACAAAATGATGCGTGCCAAACGGCCCCTAGGTTCCATCTTCTGCTTCAATTTCTTCGCTAAACATCTAATCCCTGTCCCGAACATTTCTTTCCTATCCTCACCTCAACTGAAACAAAACCCAAATCATTATAGGGCTTATGTTTTCTTCTGCAGCAGGAATTGAGATTTTTTTCCTGCACTCACAGCAACAGTGTCCATTTGTTTTTTTCTTTTTGTTTTTTTAATTATAAAGTTGGCTCCACATAAAAAATTGTCTCACTCACATCAGATAAGATATTTCCAGCAAAATAAGATAACTATTTCCCATCATTATAACTCTCTTCTACAAACATATCATATTACTTAATATCTATGAATGGATATGAATCAACATTATATTCTAATGTTTTCAAATTAACTAAAATCCCTTGGCGTAATCTCATTTCACTGGGCCTAATTAAATAATACATCATTTTAGTATGTATTAAAAAATTCTGCTGTATAATTTATATTATATAATAGTCAATTAAGAAGGTCATTATATATAATATATGCTTATACTATTGGATCTTATATATCACAGTATATATAGACTATACAACTTAATGCTAAAAATTGTTTGGATCAAGGAAAAAATAAATATCATCGTGTTTAGCGTCAAAACTATGAAAGAGAATTAATTACAAATAGTTATTAGATAAATGATTACAGTACAACTGGATAAGTTGTTAACATTAAATTTTCAAGAAAATTTGGTAGAGACCGAAGATTAAAGGGGATAGGATCTGTTTACAATTTTTTTTTGCAATTACATTAATGTAAGACCGGTCGTAAACTGTGTGATTAATGTAAGACCGATCCTACATAGTGTAATTTGTAATAGTTTGTAAACAAAAAAATTTGTAAATATAACCTGCCATAGATTAAAGTAAGTAATTTACAATTTAACCTAAAAATAATAGTCAATTTTTCTTTGATACCTTTTATCTTTATGAAGTTACCAATGTTATTGAACTAATAACAAATATTTAACTGCATATCATATTTAAATGAAATAATGTTCGTAAATACATATTAACCACTAGTAATATCCTCGTAAAAAATAAAGGTATCGAAAAACCTTCCTGATTATGTTTTATTTCATATATCCTCGTAAAAAGCTCGTGAGTTGATAGGACGTTTTTTTTTTTAATATGATAGTGATTAGTGACATGCAAATTATCAAAGTGTCTAGCCGGTAGCGGTGTTAATCCATTCTTAATGACTTATTTTATGCAAACACGTTTTCGGGTGGTGAGTAGCAGTAGCACATATTAACGCTCATACTCCCCTTTTGAGAAAATTAATAAAATTAACACAAGATTTTAAGAAATTATTGAAAATAAAATATTAATGAATGAGTTATTATCATTTTTTATTAGCTATTCAATTTATTTTTATTTTTATTTATATCTGACCCTTGTATGTCTCTAATCATAATTGGTTACTAAATAGTGATAACAACTTTTAAACAAAATTTTAACGTTGCTGTTTTCTTCTGCCACGCGGCAACTTCAAACTCCTCATTCTTCTCTCCCAAGGCAACGTATGCTACACACTGCAATCACACTCGGGCTTTTGCTTCAAACATCTCTCATTTCTCACTTTAATCCATTTTCTTTCTTTAATTAACACAGATTGAATTTAATGGGACGAGTTTTTATCATTTTTTTTTTTTTTTGCGAGTAAATAAATCTATGGACTACAAAGCACCGAGTAACAAAATAAACAAATAAAAGAGAAAGTAAAGAAGCTAAACGAAAAAGCGATTCTTTGTGTTGAAAAAAAAAAAAAAAAAAAGCAAACAAGCTCAACGAAAAAGCAGCTGAATTTGAATTCAATATTTCAATTGACAATTTGGATGACAAAAATGCTCGTCAAACTCAAAGAATCACTGTTTCTAAAATGGATTATTGTAATCTATAATCCTTTCCTTTCATTTCCATTACTATATGCACCTCTCTATCTTCCTTAATTCTCCCCCCAAAACTTACGTCTCTGTATCTGCCATTCCTTTTATCGCCGGAAAGCATCTCCGACCGATCAACCACCGCCATTCCGGTGATCGCACTCCGATGATTTGCCGCTTTGATCCTTTCGGAGAACTTTGCACTGCAGCACCCGATCCTCCTCCTTTGTTTTCTCAGATCCACTGTCGTTTTAGCTGTGATGCGAAAATTGAGGGAGGAGAAGCATTCATGGATTAGGGTTAGGGTTTCTAGCGTTCTCAGATCCTTTGTTTTCTGAATTCGTTAGCTTAGGGTTAGGGTTTGTAGCATTCTCGAAAATGTTCAAGAGAATCATGAAGGGAGGGCAAAAGAAGCCCTCCAAGTCGGAGCCAAACGATGCTTTTGGTCCCGCCGGGAACAACCACGTCAATCCGGAGGTGGCGGTGGCGGCGGCGGTGCCTCCTCCTTCCGCCACCATGGAACCGCTTCCTCTATTCCGCGTCGTGGCGGTTTCCGAGAGGCAGAACCTGTTCCTTCGGAAGTTGCAGATTTGCTGCTTCGTGTTGGATTTCTCGGATACGCTAAAATCGGTTCGGGAGAAGGAAATCAAGAGGCAGACGCTAATGGAGCTGGTGGATTTCATTCAATCAGGTTCGGGGAAGATAACGGAGAATTGCCAGGAAGAGATGATCAGAATGGTATCGGTGAATATTTTCCGGTGCTTGCCGCCGGCGTCTCACGAGAACACGGGGCAAGAGAGCAACGATCAAGAAGAGGAGGAACCGTGTCTGGAGCCAGCGTGGCCACATTTGCAGCTCGTGTACGAGCTTCTCCTCAGATACGTTGTTTCATCCGATACTGATACCAAAGTTGCAAAGCGGTACATTGATCATTCTTTTGTGCTGAAATTGCTTGATTTGTTTGACTCTGAGGACCCCCGTGAGCGCGAGTATTTGAAAACTATCTTGCATCGTATATATGGCAAATTCATGGTTCATAGGCCATTTATTAGGAAGGCAATTAATAATATCTTTTTTCGGTTTATATATGAGACGGAGAGGCATAATGGTATTGGGGAGCTTCTGGAGATTCTTGGGAGCATCATTAATGGTTTTGCGCTTCCCATGAAGGAGGAGCACAAGTTGTTTCTGGTGAGGGCGCTTCTGCCTTTGCATAAACCTAAGCCCGTCGCTATGTACCATCAGCAATTGTCGTACTGCATCTCTCAGTTTGTTGAGAAGGATTACAAGCTGGCGGATACCGTTATTAGGGGTTTGTTGAAGTATTGGCCCATCACCAATTGCCAGAAGGAAGTTCTCTTCCTTGGGGAACTGGAAGAGGTGCTTGAGGCCACACAAGCTGCAGAATTCCAACGCTCCATGGTTCCTCTTTTCAGACAGATTGCCCGCTGCCTCAATAGTTATCACTTTCAGGTTTGTGGTAAACTGTTTTTCAAGATGTTGCGTTTGATTAATACAAGCTTTTTTTCTTTTTCGATTCCTTTATGTAACAAATTGGCAATGCTTCTTGTTGAATTGTTTCTTTCTCTGTGAGGATACATCTAAACTAGTCCCGTATATAGTATAATTAGCTAAGGGTATTACAAGGTTTGGATGCCTAGTTAGTAAACTTCAATATCCTCCAAGTCTCAAATTCTCTGTGATTGTATTGAATCCAATATTTTTAGTTTTGTGGATAGTTCGTTGTAGTTTTGCATCTTAATGATGTGTCAGTTGATGGGGAAAAGCAAAAAAAAATTATATTATTTCATTATCTATTTATGTGGGAAGATACATTATGTTCTATCTCACTTAATTGTATTCAACCCTTATGTACAGAAATGCAAAATTAGTTATTTACATGCACATACTTTTCTCACGTACTGGGGTCAGGGGTTATAAATTCATTTTTTTCTTCTTCTTCTGCTTGAAAGCTTAGTGTTGAACTGGTAAAGTTAGCCAGAATTGAAATTCAACTGATGGTTATTTGTTTACCTTTAGTTTATGAAATTTATAAGTGTATATTGTATCTTTTAAATGGTTAAAAAATCTTGCATTAGTAAAAAAAGATTTTATGGTTAATGTCTTATGTTTGCAATTGTATTGTAAATTTTCTGTTTAATAACTGTAATAGGGAATTTGTGGTTTGACTTATGCACTATTTAAGAAATCTCTGTTATAGATATGTTTCTTTCTTAATATCACCATTATTTTTTTATTTTTTTTGGTGAGGTAAATGTGATGATATTTTAAGAGTGATGACAAAGCTGAAGGTTGACACTGAATTTTGATTTCAGCAGAACTGGTTTTTATTTTTAGGGTCAACTGCACTTTTCCTTCTGATTAAACTCACACTTCACAATGTCCGTCGTGATGTAAGAAATTGAAGACATTCCTGTATAATTTAACATGATCATTTGTAGTGTCTCCTGTCCAAATCAGGGATTAACTTTGATGGCACGTAATTCACGTGCAAGTCATATGACCAATGGGCTGGGAACAAAAAAACCCTTAATGCACTTAATTCCTGGAAAGTTACACATGCTTCCCAATGCATTGTCATTTATGTCCTCTATTTCGTCCTCAAGGAAAGAGGGGGAATATTTCGAAAGGCATAATCTGTACTTATAAGCTGACTGGCATCACCTGACATCTTCCTATCCACAAATTCACCCACAAAAGAAAGACTGGCCTTTTATGAGAATGGTGACTCAAACTAGTAAATTTATATACCTTTCAATTTTAGAAAGCCCGAAAACTGATATGGCTGAGCTTTTAATATATTAGAATCTAATGTTTGCGGGTTTGGCACATTCAAATCATTGAAACCTAATGTGATAACATTTTAACCCATGTTCTATATTATAATGCTTTTGAATTTAAAACATTTGTAGGTGTCTGTTCAAAATTCTTACGTTGTGTATTGATTCAATTTCTTTGCTTAAAGAATTGTTCCCTTCTCTTTTTCATTGAGATCATTATGCTGCAGTATCAGCTTTTATATTTTCATGTGCAGATAAGTAATTTACTCCGTTGCATCATGTCTCTCAGTTTAAAAGCAATTGATGCATATTTGTCTCTTGGAAAAAAATTCTAGATTCTACAAGTTTGTCCTAATATATAATCTTTTTTATTAACGTGACTGGATATAAGGCTTGTGAAATTTAAGTTTCCACCATGGGCTGAAAAGTGGTTCTTCTTTGACATTAAATATCTCTTACTTGTTAAAATAAGAAATATATTAAAGAAGAAAATGAAAGAAGAAACCTATGAACGTGTTTGGTTGGTTATTTTGTTCTCATATTTAGTTTTCACTATTTCCTTAACAATATTTTGAAAATAGGAAATTGAATGAATTGAAAACAAGGTAGCATTTTTGTAATTATAATGAAATCATATCAAATGAAAATTAAAACAAGAAAACTTACCAAACATGCTATAAAAATTCAAAATCATGAAAAAACAAGAGAATCACATACTAATCAAATCTCACCAGTCTCTTTAGATGTCTAACTTACAAACCCCTTAGTACCTGTTTGGATATGAGTGAGAAAATGAAAGTAGGATTTAATATGTACCTTACCAAGGAATCTCGAGTCCACATTCTACCTAGGCTTCAAATATTCTGATTGTCTGCATCAATTGGAAATTTCTGTCTTTAAAATGAATTGGTAGTTTTTGTTACATTGCTAAATATCAGCACAATGCTCGGGAGAAAGAATTTGATTGAATAGCATTTCTATGGATATGCCTTGCATACCGTCTTGGTACTGCAGCTTGGCAGTAATCAATGTTACCAGAAAGCTACGGAGAACCATGAGGTTTTTATTATTAAAAACCTCTATATACCTTCAATGCTCTTATTTCCTTCATGGACACAAAAGTCGGGTGATACTTTGTAAAAATGAAGACACGGAGGAAGGAGTGAATCTGTTCTCCTGTTTCAAGATTCCAAGCTCATTATAACTTAATTCCTTCCTATTTTCAGCTTTCCCAAATGTGGTCCTGGTCATTAATGATAATTTGAGCATAAGTCATCAGATCAGGATAACTTTAAAGGGTTTTGGCACAACCTTCTAATGCTCGTGGAAATGAAAATAGTGTGCATTTGCCATAATATGGGTTTCTCTGCTTAAGGAAATTTAAGGTTATTTTCATTTAATTCTTTCAATACGGTGCTTTTCCCCCTGGCCTGCTGTCAATATGGCCTTTAGTCATTACAACATCCAGGATTTTCTACAGTTTCGTAATATTTAGATTTAAAAAATCTGAACTGGTTTTGTGAATATCTTTGGCAAATCTATTCTTTCAAGTCATAATCAGCATACTGAATTGAGAATCCTGATCGCTTGGAATGTTTCTTTTTCTTTTTTCTTTTCCAAATTTATAAATCTTGGATTATATTTCATGGTTTGTTGATGTAATTGGTTTGAAATCATCCCATGAGAGTCTATGCTTATGCACACTTTCAACGCAGGTTGCAGAACGAGCCCTCTTTTTGTGGAATAATGAGCACATTGTCAGTTTAATTGCCCAAAACAGAACGGTAGTATTACCCATAATATTTGAAGCATTGGAGAAAAATATCCAGGGTCATTGGAACCAGGCTGTTCACGGGCTGACAGTGAATGTTCGGAAAATGTTCCTGGAAATGGACGCGGAATTGTTTGAAGAGTGCCAGAGGCAGTATGCAGAGAGAGAGGCTAAGGCCAAAGATGTGGAAGCGCAGCGGGAATTGAATTGGCAGAGACTGGCAGATGCAGCTGCGCAGAATGGTTCAGATATGGTCACAGTTTAGCCAAATTACTTTACTGTCGTAACTGGGAGTGTGAATTGGATAGGTGAAGATTATATATGCTCCTCGCCATTTTGGTGCCATTATTTATTAGTTTCTTTCCTGCCTGCTTAATTTATTTTTCCTCTTCATTTTCTCAGTTGGATAATCAGCAAGTTGAATATAGCAGTGATTAATGTAACTTAAAATGTATTGGACGTTGTTAGCAATGTCTGCGGATTAAGAATCTTTTGTGAAATATTTTCTTGTATTTTTTCCCCTTACAGAGAGAAATATGGAAATTTTCTTTTCCTTCTGGAAACTAGACAAACCTTTTTGTTTATTCTTGATTGGAAGCATTCTGCAGTAAAACCGTAAAAATCCTGGCCAAGGTCGGTTGTGGAAAGGGCTGGGCTGAATATCAGTATCACCTTGATTTAGTGGCATACTATCTGTTTATTTATATAAAAGCCAAAACGAAACGGTTCCTGATCTCTGAGCAGTGTTTGTTTGTCTTCCGTTCAATAAACTTGTTCAGCTTGAATTCAAGTCAGTTTTCTGCTGTAAAAGTAAAAGGGTGGGGGTCATTTGCTGATTGATGCTAAATTTTACCTCAAATCTCAAGAAATTATACAAGTTATGGATGGTTGACTTCAATGGGAATGCATTATTATAAATGTGTTTGGGATGTTTAGTAGAGGATAAATTTTTATGTGTTTAGGAGGGTATAGAATTATCTTGAGAATGTTAAAGCTTTTATTTGTCAACGGGGATAAGATATCTTCTGTGAGTCTAAAATAATGTCGTTTTGAGGTGGAAATTAAGTATTTTTGTAATTCTAATTTATTTTATGGTTATATTAATCTTTATCATTATAATTTTATAATTCCAAAACGATATCGTTTTGAATTCACTTGAGATAATTTTATCTCGAGTGATTGGAAAAATATTTTTTCCTTTTTAAAATAATTTTATATTTACAATTTAACCTTTTGAAATTTAATAATATGTACTTGAATCTTAAATTCATAAAATTAACATCAATTCAGTTATTTTGAAAGAATAAAGTGAAAAAAAAAGGATTGAATTAATATAAATTTTATAAATTTAAAGATTTATTTATATACATATAAAATTCAATTAATTATGTTGGTGACAAAACGACATGCCGTGCATTAGATTGGACCAAGCTAAAAAGAAAAGGATTAAATTAAGAATAGAGATGGGGGAAAAAAAAAATTCAATATTTCTGTCTATGAGAGCCTCATGCACTTCATCTATCATATGTGCTTGTGAGGTGTGAAGGAGAGGAGGAGGAGGAGGAGGAAGAAGAGATTAGAAAAGGTTATACTAAGAAAAAAGAACAAAGTGGGAATGTCGAAGAAAGGTGGAGGTGCCGCTTCGTTTCAAAAGGATGTCCCATGGAGAGCATCGTCTTCTTCTGTGAAGCCAGTACCCAAAATTCACCAATCTCCAGTTCTTCGCATTTCCCAGACACCCTTTTCCGATTATGCCCTCTACACAATGAGGGTATCTCTTTTGCTATCTGCTTTTCACTTTTCATCAATGATTTTGTTGCATCCTGCACTAGTTCATTAACCAGGTTTTTTTTTTTTTTTGGGATTTTTGGAATTTCTCAGAATCCGGACCCTATAGGGAGTGGTTTGGGTGAGGAGGCCATAGTGGAAGCAGCTGGTCCTGACTGCATCGTACCAGGCCAGATTATGCCCCTCAAACTACTTGGCGTCAAGGTCCTCTTCTTGTTCTTGCTGTTCAATTTTTGTAACTAAAATCAAATTATAAGAAATCTAACTAATGAAATGTTGGTTCTTATGATATTATTAAATGTTTTCTTTTCATTTGATTGCTTTCTGTTTCAGTAATTAGAAACCAGATATTAACCTTATTGATTGTGTAGGATCAATTTGCATGGAATTAGCTCCTTTAGTGTGGAATTAGTTCTCATGTTACTTCGTATATTCTAGGACCGATTTGCATTACCATTTATCCTTTTAAATGCTATGTGGTGGTTGCTTCATTTGTGGCATATTTTTCTCACATATGCTTGTATCAATCTTAGTTTTCCTTTTCACGGCTTCAATTTTGCTATGATACCAATTCCACTATTTTGAAGTGGACATTTTTATCTGTGTTATGTAGAGCTAGAACATCTTAAATATTTTGCCAAATCTTAATTGATAATTATCTTGATATGTGAAAAAATATCCTTAGATGCCAATTCATCTCTCATAACATCCTGATTTCTACTGAACTCAATTTTGAGTTATTGTCTATCAAAAGCTCTCCATTAGAACATGAAGAACAGGAAAAGTATGCTCCTGTTTCAAAAATGTCCTTCAAACCTGAATGCTTCTCTTCGTTTCTTCTGAAGCAACCAAAAGTTCATAAATATCTTTGAAAAACACAATGTGTTATGGAGTATTTTCCTGGTCAGAATCGTTATTCCATCTCTTTGCTTGCATGCCAAATCCCTTTTTGCTGCACTTTTTATATGCAAAATATTATTATAACCGGACGTTGTTAGCTTGAGCTGGTCTTGGCTTTAGACAGAGCATGCACACTCACATTCATGCCATTAAGCCTTGTGTAATGTGCATTTATCAAACATTTTATTCTTTAAGATAATTCTATTTTTTTTTTTATAAAAATGAAGTTAATTTTCATTTTAACTCTCTTGCTACCTCAATCCTTGCATTCATGCCAAATGGGCCAGAGGCAATGGATCTTTGCCCTGTTTTGGAATTAAAAGTGTTTTATGTTCATTAATGCCAAGCTTTCCTTCTCACACCATGTGTTTTCACGTTTTCCCCCTTGGAGTTTATGTTTACATTTGTCTAATATTTATGTTTCTCTTTTGGGGTATTGCTCTTTAGAAAGATTATGTTTTTGCAAAGAAATGCAGTTTAACATTTTTCTTTTCGGCTTCTTGTTTGGACAGGTCTGGCCTATCAGTGTTGACCTGAAATTTTTGGAACCAGTTGGGCGAGAACTTAAGATGCTTGGGAAGGTGAAGTCCTTTTTATATTTTTCATGCACGCAAGTGAAAAGATTGGCCTTTCTTGAAGTTGAGCTTAATGAGTTCATTGCATTTGATATTTGATGAATCGTTTAATAGAATACTGAGTTACTTACGTATTTGTCAACCAATACACTGCATTCAAATCCTGAATTTGAATCCAATTTATTTGTACATTAACTTGCAGAGAGAATTAGGAACAATGAAAACTGTTGCTACTAGCCACATATGTGCCCTTATACTTCTGAAAATTGAGATGACAATGATTTGTATTGCACTGTTAAAACAACTACGTTAATCATTATGAAATAATTGTGCTGAAAGATATCTATATGCTGTTTATTATATAAGTACTGCCTTCTTTGTCAGACCGACCAATAGTATTTTAGTGAGTTGAATTCTGAAGTTACAATGTTGCTATGATGCATGATGTGGTTCAAGGTTTGCTTCACCGGTCTTTTACTGTAGTTTTGTGCAGACATAGCTAGAATGCATAAACCGATACTCTTTTGTTGCAAATTTTGTCTAAAACATCTTGTTCCTGGAAATGCCTGGAATTGGTCAAGCGCATTCTTGGTGCTCCTGGTGAACTAGTTGAACCAAAAATACATAAATCAACTCTAATCTTAAATATCACGGTAGCTTATGTTTGGATTTATTTATCTTGCCTGGTTGCTCTTATTGCTGATTTATAATTTGTCTTTATTTTATTTTATTTTTTTCATATTAAAGGTTTATATGTCCAGGTGAGACATTGCAGTTCTAAATATGCGATGAACTGTCATGATTAATGCAGTTGTTTTTCTACATGCAGTTCATGGATGACGCTGTGGATCTTATGAACAAATCGTTCATAGAGCGTTGATAGTACGGCCTATGTGAAAAGATGAAGCAGCAGCAATTTGAATTAAAGAGACCAGAAGTATAGGCAAGCCGAGTGACTGCAACATTTGGCTCATTTTGTATTTAGTCTTGCTTATATTTTCCCAAGCAGCAGCAATCTATAGTTTTGTTCCGTACTTCCCCCGGCCCCCTTTCGTTTATGCTAAATAAGAGAATATTTTATAAAATCCGATGTTTTACTTTTTCGTCTGCATGCAATAATGCAGTTGGTTGCATTACTTGGATTGAGAAACATAACATAGTTTGAACTGTATGTTGCTAGTGCACTGCACTTCTATCCTATGCTGCCTTTTCCTTTTGGATGGAGTTCAAGTTTGAGATGTGTTTGCAATTCCAAATAAGATGAAACTATATGAGGATTTTCCTCCTTGTATCCCGCACCACTTAAAAATTGTTCATATGCCAAACCGTCATTACTCTGATATGAACTTCATTGATGATGGGCAAAGTGGACAGCCCGCCTCACCTCGTCATCAAACCGCCAAAAAATGAATCAGTCCGTCCCACCTCACTTTTGAAAGTGGGCAGAAAAACTCAGCTTGTCCTGCCCCGTTTGGCGGGTTGGACAGGTTGGTCCGCTAGCCCGAACCTATTTTACACTGACCCGTCTCGGCCTATGTATATCCGTTATCAACTCGTCAAAAAATGAGTCTGTCCCGCTCTGCTTTTGAGATGAGTTGAAAAACTCAGTCCGTTCCGCTCCATTTGGCGGGTTGGGCTGGTTGACCCGCCAAGTCGAGCTCGTTTTATCGGCTCTAGGTGGAAGTTGCAAGATTTGAGTAATTTGATCATTGAGGAAGTCAACTGACTAAGCAAACCAAAACAGAGCTTAAATGAAAAATCGCAAAGGAGGAGAATATATATACAGAGTCTAAATGGTGCCTGATCTTAAAAGACTTGAGGAGCAGGCCCTTTTCATTCCAATGAAGAGAATACAGAAACAGCGTCACATTTTGACATTGAAGACGCTTGATTCTTGAAATTGTTATAGAATAACAGTCAATGGTATTATTGTATAACACAAGAAGCACAACAACAGAAAAGATGCCGACACAACCACCCTTGCAGTCGTGGACATATCGTCGGTGTACTCCGGACCGGACTCTAAAATACCATCACCTCCACCGTCGGATCCTCTGCTCCACATTCCGAGGTTGTTGTCCCTGTTCATTCACCACCCATGAAAACCTAAGAATCTCTCTTGACTTTGAAACCTTTTACTAATGATATTTACTATATGTTTGTTACATTACATACCTGGCAACACCGAGAACGCCGGCGGACATGGTGAGGAGAGCAATGCGGTCGGCGGATTTAGGTTCAACGCTGTAGGCCTTCTCGTACTTAACCTCAACACCTTCACCCGAAGCAACGAAGAAAGCACCATTGACCATGATGTCACCCTCTGATCTCCAATTCCAACCCTTCCACTTGCCTTGATCGGTATCAACCCTCTTAGTGACTTCCTTAGCGAAAGTGTTGGTCGGTGCGGTGTAACGGTTCCCCTGGCTGTTAATGGTGGGTTCACCGCTTCCACCAATGGCGTACATCTCCCACTGTGTGAAGTCGTTGTTGACGACGTGAATGTAACCCCTCCTGCAACGTGGCATCCTCTGAACGAGCTTCTCACCGAAGTGGTTGAAGGCGATGGTGACTTGCATACCTGAGTCTGGTAGATAGTCATCGCTGTGTCCAAGAAGCATGACCTCGTTGTGGTGTGACATGAAGTTGTTGGATATTGTTATCCCAGTGGACCCCATAATGGCGTCTATGAGTCCGTCCTTGCACCGTGAAAGCGTGCAGTGGTCTATCCATATGTCCTTCGCTCCGAATAAGGATATTCCGTCTCCGTCTGATAACGTACGATACCCGTAGTGCTCTGGACTCGACCTCACGTTTGTGTTTCCTGCACATGCATTCACACCATCTTGTTTACTATATTATATCACGTGTTTAGTGTGTGTCATTTAAAAGGATACAAGTTGTGTCTTTTTTTAATGATTTACACAGAGTATGACCAGTCATGATCTATGTAGTTTTGAAAAGTTATATTTTTTTTTTCACTTTACATGTCTGTCAGTGATCTGACTGAAGAGAGAGAGAAAAAAATCAACTTTTTAAATTGATACAAAATATGACCGGTCATACTTTACTTTGTGTAAACCATAGAAAAGAACACAACTTGTATCCTTTTAAATGATAGTTTTTTTTCCCTTATGTTATATTTGCAATAAGCTCGCGGCCTCTTTGACCCATATACGGCATAATCAGAAATATTTTACTTGTTTATTTTTATTTTTTTCAAATAATTTATTAATGTAATATGAAAAGATGCCCAAGAAGAACCCAATGGGTGCAGCTCAGTTGGTAACTTGGCGCTGAGTTAGTGGGGTTGGATATGTGTTCGATTCCCGCTGAATGCATTCTTGGGGAGGGGGCTAAATCTTTAGTCATCACTGTTTCCCCGCACTCCGGATTAGTCCCATAGCCGGCTCAAAGAGTCGAAGCTCGTAGGGATACCGGAAAGAGCCAACTCGTCTCAAAGAGATAATTAGGGTTGGGTAACTCAAAAAAAAAAAATCCCAAGAAAAAGTGCTTGTTCAAGTTCTGCATCACTGCATATGAACAGGCACACCTCATAAACATATAAAAGTCAACAAGAGTTTCCCTTCTCACATTAAATGAGTTAAAAAGTCTCGGGTGTTTCTCAAAATTTCCTCCAATGTTAATTCCTTTTTGAAAATGTGTGGATCTCTTGAGATTGTTTTATCCTTAACTTTTTTATTTATTTCTCCACTGATTCATGCTAATCTGGTTCAAATCCTTTTGGAGCCATTCTCTCCCAATACCATCTCATGACATAATTAAGTAACTTTTCAAACAATTATTTTCTTTAGAATTTAAATTTTGATCTTCTCTCTTAGATCTTGCCTCGTTTAGCACTCTGTTTAACCTTTATTAGTTCTTGGAGATTTGGAGATTTCCTAACAGCATTTATAATTTTATTTTTGTTAAAAAGAAAGAGGAAGGTTATACTTACAACCTTTTTTTTTACAACCTCTTACAACTATATATCATAATCGTTGAATTCCGTCAATCAATGATTGTCATTTATTATGAATTAATAATTAATTAATGAGTTTAATTTGCGAAAATCTTAACCGTTGATTGACAGAAATCAACGGTTATGATATATGGTTGTAAGAGGTTGTAAAAAAAAAATTGTAATTATAACCTCTCCCAAAAAGAAAACATTTACTGATAACATCACTCTAAAATATCTAAAAATTTAGTGTTTAAATTTTCTCATATTTTTTATATACTTATAAAAGTGTGTAGAATTTATATAACCATATGAGACAAAAAAAACAACTATACTCCACACATTTTTATATGTCTATAAGATGAAAAACTTTAAATCCAAAAATATATCACTTGAAATTACTCTGAAGCAATTAATTAAGCAGTATAAGTGAGCTAAAAGAACTAGGATTTTTATATAAACTTATTGTACCTCATATTCTCATTTGAGTTAATAAAGTATTAATGTAATATCAATTATCATTTTATTAGTATAATAATGATGTCCACAGTACACCCTTATACTGAGAGCATGTTTTGATTATATAAACTTCTGGAAAAAAAAAAATTTACTTTTTTCTAAAATGTTTTAAACTTAAAATAAAGAAATAAAGAAATATTCTTGAAACATAATATAAAAATCTCTCCACAAAACAAACAGATATTTTTTTAATTCTTCACAGAAATTATCCTCATTCACAATATAGTTCGATCCGAGTCAAGTAAGTTCAGGAAAAGAAAACAACTAAACTTACCTGAGGGATGACAATGATGGACGTGAATGTTGTGTATGATGATGTTGCTTATATACTGCAAAGTGATGCACCCTCCTCCAACAATGTGCACATCAGCACCTCGCCCATCAAGTGTCTTGTAGCTGTTAAATATCAGTTCCTGAGAAAGCTTAATCATCATGTTACTTGGGAACACTATCCACAGTGGCTCATTCTGTATCACTGCGTATCTCAGCGTTCCTGGTTTTGGGTTCACAGCATCATTATCTGATGAGTCTGTCACTATGTAAAACTCACCACCTTTCCCTCCTTTTGCATATTGACCGAACCCAATGGCACAATCAGCTAGCCTCTGGCGATTGTTGGGCCAATCTGGGTCGCATTTCCAACAATCGTCGATGGGGTTCCCTGTTAGGCACGACGACTCATCTTTCAGTGAAATTGCTAGCATTTCCCTTCTTGCAATTGAAGCATTAACCTTCCTACACAACAAAATGGGGGTAAACATCAAAAGAAAGAAAAAAGAAATTTTGACATAGCCCAGATCTACCCTTTACCCTCTAAATTCATGTAATGTAGGCAACTACATTGAGATGTAGGGTCACCTAGAGTCTCAATTGAGAGGGTATTTTGTATCAGACACCCAAGAAACAGAGGAGAGTGTGAGTGTGAGTGTGAGTGTGAGTGTGAAAGGAGTACCTATGAACTTCGTGAGCAACAGCTTCAGGGTCAGGATGTTGACCGGGAAGAGTTAGGTTCAGCATTGCTGTTCCAAACGGCGAAAACGAACACAGAACAAAGATTAATAAAATGCAGGTTGTTTGGAGCATCGTTGAGTGAGTGCTACTTTTTGTTTCTGAAAGAGTTCTTACACTGTGCAGTGGCTGCTTCTCCAGAAGTGTTAGCTAGTGTTCAATTACGTGAATTAATAAGCAGATAAAATAATTGATTATAATAATATGGAACGAGGTTGAGTGTGAAAAGAAACAGGGGATAATCTTTTTGTATTCTAGTATTATACATGATAATACATCCTCCTCGCTCCTTATTAAACTGTCTGTGTTATTGTGCTTTATGGTATATTTACCATATTCGGTGCTCATTAATAATAATGATTGTGGAGAAATTCTTTTGATTAATTTAATGATAGAAAAAGGCAAAAGAGGAAACGGTGAGAGAGGGAGAGAGAGAGAGAGAGAGAGAGAGGTGTTCTGATTTGTCAAGGAATCATCCTGCTCTCGAGGAAATGGTCTCATTGCGGGACAGACAGTCAGTGTCACTGTTGGAAAGAAAGTTGCTCAATTTCACTACTGCCCCCACCCCAATCATGTAATACTGCCACCGTATTGTGTTGTAGAGACGGGAATCGATTCTCTCGTGTAAAAAAGTGGTCATGTTATTTGATCACAATCACTCGTTTAAAAATTATATATTTTTCTCTCTCTTATCTCATCAACAATGAGTGGTTGTGATCAAATAACATGACCACATGATCACTTTTATACATGAGAGAATTCACTCCCTGTAGAGACAAAGGACTTATGTCAGCACGAAAATCGAATGGTACATAAGAAAATTTCTCTCTCATATTGAATGAGAATTATAAAACTCATAATAAAATGGGGTTTTCATTAGTAATTTAACAAGATATGGTAAAGTTTCTTACACACATGATATTTTATGGGGTTCGTATTTTTTGAAGCAAAAAAAAAAATTAAGACACGAAAAATGAATCTCAATAATATGACTTAGTTACTTTTCCTATAACCTAACTCTTATAAATCCCTAATAAAATACGCTTGATTTTCGTTTGATGTTACATATGGCGTATGCTATTTAGTTTGTTCCGTGAAAAATAGAAGTGAAGGATGAATATATCCATAGGTTTCTCGTTTTTGTTGTTAGATAGAAAAATTTGCTGCAAACTTATTAATATTAGAATACAGAGTCATATCCTACAATAAAAAAAAGTTCAGGATACCAAACAGTACGTTGGTAAAAACAAGTATTGCTATAAGTTTTCTGATAGCGACAGAAGAGCAATTAAACCTATGAATATATAAATAAATGTTTTGTATATTTAGTTATTGTATATGGGGACGATAAAATGATTTAAATCATATCTTGTAATGGAAAAATATTTTCATTTCAAAATTATAATTTAGACAACTTTAAAAAATGGGTTTTATAATTCTCATTTAATATGAGAATTTGAATTTTTCTACACACATTTTGATTTCTGTGTCAACGTAGATCTTACACATAATTTTTTTTAACATACGAGTCCCACATATTTTTTGTCTCTACACATATTTTTTGAATGAGAAATATAAAATCTTTAAAAATATCATATAATATAATAGAAACCAAAATAAATATTTGAGCTTTACCCAATTAACTGTTACAGGTCGTTGACAAAGACCATAACAGAAACTACCCAAAAGCATTGAGAAGGGTTGGTGAGAGAAAATAAAATAAAAATGAAGAGTTAAAATGATATTGCGTAAAATTTCTGAGAGTTTTTGCTTCTAATTCTGACCAGTAACGTGACTTCATGAATGAACCATAGAATTGCAGGAGGAGTAGGTAGGTAGGGCGAGGAAAGTTCTTCCCAATCGATGAACTAGCCTTTTGACTTTGGACCTACACCTATTTTTTTTATGTTTTTTTTGGGTACGTGGACCTACACCTATTGTTAGCACTAATCACGACATTTTAGCGTTTTTAAAAAGAATTAATATTTTTATGTCACAATAAATAAAATTATTTTATTAATACACATAAAAATTTATGAAATTCATGTGAAATTATAAAAAAAAAATATAAAAATATAAATCTCTTACACTTTTATGTATTTTTAAAAGATTTTCTTATAGCACGAGTATTAATTTTTTTTAAAACATGCGAACATTAATCCCTCTTTAAAATCTTCAAACTATAACAAAGCGCTGATTTCGAATGTGGACAAGAAATTTTTTTTAATCTTTGAAAGAACTATATGTGCTTCTTTTTCTTTTTCATTAATCTAGTCATATTTTATAGGGTTTTATAAGAGTTATGTTGTAGGAAAAGTGATTGTGTAATGTTATAGAGATTCGTTTTGCGTGCTTAATTTTTTTTTTTTTTTTTTTGCTTTAGAAAATGTGGGCCCCACAAAATGTTGTGTGTGTAGGAAAGTTGTTGATGTCATGTGACATGATAGATGTAAATCCCTATTTTATAACTTAGTAACTGTTTAAGTGGATTTCATTATCTTAACCTCCTCGAACTCTTTATTAAATTCATCTATGAAGATTTATCATTAAGATTTCCTATAATGCAAGAAAATAAATAATTTGTTCTTATTGTAAATGATTTTATTTAAATGTACAGTATATAAAATTTAATATTATTATTTAATAATATATTGTTGCATTTTAAATAATTATAATAATCTGTACCAAAAGTCAAACAATCTTTAATAAATTTATTTTGTTCAATTATCTTTAGCTATATCATTAAAATATTAAAATTTCGTATAATGCAAGAAAATAAATAATGTTATACGGGACACATGTTTATAAATATATTACGTGGGTCCAGTTTTTCTACGGTCAATGTAGATAACTTATCTACAGTGAGCCTAAAACGACGTTGTTTTGAGGCGGAAATCAATGTATTTTTGTAATTATAATTTATTTCAGGATTATAATAGTCTTTTTTATTATAATTTTTTAATTTTTTAACTCAAAACGACGCGTTTTGAAAACGAATGTAGATAACTTATCTACATTCACTTTAGAAACATTAAAGCCATATTACTTAGGCTTTAATGTTTCTAAAACGAATGTAGATAAATTATCTATATTCGCTCCCAAAACGACGTCGTTTTGGGTTAAAAAATTAAAAAATTATAATAAAAAAGACTATTATAACCCTGAAATAAATTATAATTACAAAGATACATTGATTTTTGTCTCAAAATTACGTCATTTTGGGCTCAATTTAGATAAGTTATCTACATTGACCGTAGAAAAATCGGATCCTATTACTAGAGGTGTCAATATAGGTTTTGACACACGGGTCGACCTGCGACACGACACGAAAATTCGTGTTCGGGTTGACCCGCAAAAAAATTCGTGTCGTGTTCGTGTTGAAAAAAGTGACACGTAAAAAATTCGTGTCGTGTTCGTATTGATGTATTCGTGTTCGTGTCGACCTGTATTTTTTTAAAATTATTTTATTTTTAAATTTTTATTATTATTTTTTTAAATTTTTTTTTCGATCCATTTTTTTTAAATTTTTTTGTTAATTACCGTTTTGACCCCTATTTTGCGTGTTATTCGTGTCATGTCGTGTCAACCCGCAAAAAATTTGTGTCGTGTCAGTGTTGAAAATTTTGACACGAATAAAAATTTGTCTCGTGTTAGTGTTGAGGTATTCGTGTCGTGTCGAATTCGTGTCGTGTCAACCCGTTTTGACACCCCTACCTATTACTTATGTAAGGAAATGTAAAACCTCTCTTTTACGCACACATATAAAGATACGGGATCCATTTCTATTCTCTCTCTTCTATATTCTCTTATATCTCTCCTCTAAATGTATATATAGGAGAGATTTTATCTTATGTGAAAACAATTCCCCTTACTTAATATTTGTAAAGTTTTTATTATCTGATTAGAGTGTAGTCATTTAATTTTTTTTGCGTAGTTTTATCCCAATTATAAGAAAAAAATTCGTTTACAAATTACACTAAGTATGACCGGTCATATTTAATGTAATTTATAAGAGTTTAAAAACAAAATAATTTATAAAAATTTAAAAAAAAAAAATTTATAAATATAACTTTTCCCCGTTATAACACCTAAAGACAAACATTTTCCATATGATAACTAAACATTTTCCGTATTTCTGCCCCAGTCAGTGTCACACTCTTTTAATAATGTGTTAAAATAATAGTGACAAAACTACAAAACATCTTACTAAGTTGAAAACTTATTGTGAAGTAGACCCAACAATTACGACTTTTTGTTATTTTATCTAGTTTTAGGGATTTATTATTTTTCTGCCAACAATATTCTTTTTCTGCAAACTGAAAAATGATGTGGGGTCTATTTATTTTTTTTTCTTTTTTTTTTGGTGAGTTTCATTGCTAGTTTGTATGTGCAGCTGAAGAAAAGATGAGACTAATAAACCCTTTTTATCTACTCTATATAATAATAATTTCACTAGAGAGATTTAGAAGGTTTGCAAGTTATCTCTTTCTAATTTCACATTTTGTCCGTAACCCCTCTCTCTCTCTCTCTACTTTTTATGTATGAATTAAGTTTTTCTTTTACAAATAAAAGCAAGGTTACACAACAAAAAAAGACAAAAAAAAAGAGTCAAAATGTTAACATAATATGAGAATGGTTATTAGATGAAATAAAGTGGTAGTAACCTTAAAAATAAACAATGAACAAACATGTCTTACTATTTTAACAATAATTCTGACACTAATAATTTTTCTTAAATTACATAATCAAGGAAATTTACAATTAAGAAATGTGGAATAACATTTAAAACCACAATAAAAACTTGTGTTTTACCTATAGCGAATCATATATTTTTTCATTATAATTAACGGATTAATCACAATGATTGCTCAGTTGAAAGTAAAAACAAAAAATTAAATACTGATAATTAACTATTTACCTTCATTTTATGGAAAAATAATCTTTCTTTTAATATAATTTTCGCATGCTTATATTGAATTAATCGGATAATTGATGAATCATTGGATATATCTAGAAAATAATATATATTTTTGCCCTTGTTCAATGCAAGAGGTAGCTTCATGCGTATTAAAAAA